GCTCCTATAAGATTCTGCACAGTGAGAGCTGTGCCTGTATCCTATGTGGAACACAGTGAAGCAACATCTGTCCAATGACAGGGGAATGTTTTCCACCTCTTTTATAAATGCGTGCAGTCTGTGCTCATGTATATTTACACAAGCCTGCTTTCCCTACAGGGAGGAAAAAGTCAGACTCATTGACGTTGCTTTTGACCCTCAAACTGAACTTGATACTATCAATGTACACTTTAATTAAAGTTTAGTTCAGCACTATTTTTTATTTAAAGGCTAATTCTGAACAAATGCCTTCAGTGTTTAATTAAAAATAATACATGGTATTAAACAAAAATGTGCACATTATTGCTTCTTTCTATGTTTGTCACAGTAAATACTTCTGACAGATGTTTCCTCTCTTTTCAAACATGCTAGGAGGTACTTGAGCCTTAGTAATTTAAAAACAGACATTAAATGCATTTACATATTGATAATAATATCCACTGAGAATGCTGTACAACACTATACAATGAAGAAAACAAATTGTTACTTGATTAACTATCTTTCAAGCCTAAGCAATGTCAATAGAGTCAATCCATCTCATTTGTTAATGCAAAAATAATAACTTTCTAGCTGGGTTAGAATGCCCTTAGCTTCAGATACCTTTAAGGGATATGACTCTCTGGGACCCATAATTCACTGTGTGTTATTTAACTATTTATAAAAAACCTATTATCTTTAGTTAGAATATGGAAGCATTAGGTTTCTTTAAGTTAAAAGACGAACTTTAAAAACAGTAAAAATAATTTGTTTTCACCACTGTTAAGGTTATGTTTGAACAGTTGTAACAACAACAGTTCTCCTATGTGCTTCAAGAAGAATTTTTTAAAACTTAGATAATATTTTTAGTCATGAAATTCTGGGATGATCTTATATAAACTCATTTGCAAAGCTCTAAATGCCTTAATTTTGCTATATTAAACCTAACCTCAGTCTAATTTTTATATGCAAAATAAACATATTTATTAATAATGTAGATATAATATTAGGATTTTTATTTGAAATTCTCAAAGAACTCTTTTGAAATTAGGACAAGCCCTCTCCCTCAAAAAAAAAAATCAATAGTGATAAACAGCAAAGTTTTTTAGCAGTCTAAGCTAGCTTTTGTGACTTCTAGTCTCAACTCTGTCAATGGCTTACTCTGTGAACAACAGTTATGTAAGATCTAAGTTATATGAATTATATTAGTTATTTTCCATTTTAAAATGTCAATTTGAAAGCTTAGTCTTCATTACCCAAACAAACTTTAAAAAAACAGTAGGACCCTTTGAGATAAGAATACTATCAGCTCCATTTTACAGATGGGGAAGATGAGCATTGGAGAGGCCCAGTCAGAGGGCCCCAAAGCCACAGGATTGCCATGAGGCAGAGCTAGAAATTGAATCCAGGTCACTGACTCCCAAGGCCAAGCTCTTAACTACTCTGCAAGGGGGTCTCAAAAACGCCCTAAGGTACAGGCCAGTAAATTAAGTAAGGGAAGCAGGTGAGAATGTGACTGAGGTGAATTGGAGAGCACATGTCCAACTAAAGGCAACTGCAGCTACTCGGCTCCAAAACGGTATAGCCAGGCAGACATGCTGAACTAGAGAAATCAGACTAGCTGGCAAGCAATATCTAGATTGTGAAATTGTCTGATTTTAAAATATTGGATCCATTTATTTCTTTTAAAATATTAAAGTGGATAAAAAGAAAAAAAATCAATGCTAGCAAGAAAATGGAGCAAATGGAACTCTCATGTACTACTGATGGGAATGCAAAAAATGTTCAGCCACTTTGGAAAATAGTTTGACATATTCTTACTACATTTAGCAGTCCCACCCCTAGATATTTTCCCAGGTGAAATGAAAACCTATACTCACACACAAATATCTGAACTCAAATGTTTTTAGTGGTATATTCATAATCACCAAAAATTGAAAACAACCCAAAAGTCTCTCAACTGGATAAACAAACTGTAATACATCCATACAATGGAATACTATTCAGCATTAAAAAGGAATGAACTAGCAATATATGAAACAACATGGATAGATCTCAAAAGCATTATGCTAAACGAAAGAAGCCAGACTTAAAAGGCTACCTACCATACGATTCCATGACATTCTGGAAAAGGCAAAACTACAGAGATGAAAACATCAGTAGTTGCCAAGGACTAGGGGTTGACTACAAAGGGTCAGCACAAGGGAATGTGGGGGAGGGAGAGTGATGAAATGTTACATATCTTTATCATGGTAGTAATTACATGACTATATATGTTTATCAAAACTTGCTGAACTATATACGCATAAGTCAATTTACATAAATTACACTTTAATTAAATTACAAGGGAAATAGTTGAAAAGTGAAAGAAAGCACCAACTATATAAAACCTATTGATATAAAGATCTGTAACATAGCAATATATTTTCTTCACTGACATGTGTGATTATTTTACATTATGAGGACAATAAGATGGCAAACTATTTGACACATTTAGAAAAAAAGATGATATGATTTTAAAACCTACATCACACTCAGTGAAATAAAATCTACAGCACTCTAAAGCCAGATTAGACAAGAACTCTAAAGAATGACACACTATGAAAATAGTATTTGGATTGCTAATAGGGATCCAAGTTTAAGTATGCCCTTTATTGAACTAACAGATACAAAAAAATGTTTTGCAAATAATGAAGAATCCTACAAATATTATATAAAATAATATAGTAAAAAGCCCAAGTGTTAGGATCTATCTGTGCCTGGCTTGAATCCTAGCTCTGCTTCAACCCTCTGAGCTCTATTTTCTCAACTGTAAATGTAAAAGCCTCAAAGGGTTTTTGTAAAGACTAAATGCGAAAATAAAGTGCTTTTTTGTAAAGCACTTAGCACATATAAAGAGCTAAACAAGGTACCTGCTACTCATTTATGTAATACTATGATTTGAAGAGTTTCATCTTCCATTTTAAATTTTACTGCAAATACTGGTTTCTTGCAGGAATTAGGACTACTTTAGAGGATTCAGAGAGGCTATTTAGAGTGGCGGCAGATAGGACAAGAGGGTGAGCTGCAGTGGTCGATCTTGTTACATCAGTCCTTTCTTTCCAACCAGTTAGGTAACACAGCGGGCCATTGGTCAGCCATTGTCAGGAGTGAAGTGTCTTCGTGCCTCCACCTTCATCCACATCCTTAATTAAAAGGAGACTCTACCAGGCTAGGCTAGGGTGAGGCATGTGAGATGCCAAGAGTGCAAAATATAAGGAGCCCTGGGCACCTAATGTGCCTCACCCTAGTCTTGGCCCACATTCCCTCCAAACATTCTTATTTCCATTACTTCTCCCAACTCATAGAGTTTCCACATTCTTCCCTAACTCAGGGGGAAGTCTTTGTTTCTGCTTCCTTTAAAGCGTGAGGATATTCACACGGTTTAGTAATCATCAGCCTTCACTATTATTGTGTCCTAGATTTGTATATGTTTGCTACCTGTTTTGGGTAACTTTCATTTCTGAAATAATTTAAACGCTTTTTTTCTCTATTAATACAGGAATCTCTTTGAAAGAATGTGAAAGCTCGCTGACAAAAAATGATGTACATAAACCTCACCCTCTTCATAATTCAAAAGTAAAAGAAAATCTGTAAAAAACGAGTAAATTCAGTCTTAAATATCCGAAAACTTTGACTCTACGTCTATAGTACGAGACATCATCATCTTTTGCCATTTGTACTTTATGGTATCTCATTATATAAGAAAAACCTTTGAATTCTTGTTTGATTTGATTATTTACAGAATCTGAAACACTGCCTTCCAACTGCTTTATTCCTCATTACATACAATTTACTGGAGAAAAAAAGATGTGCTTTTTCAATTCATCAAAAGAAAGTCCTTCTTTGAACCAATGGTATTTTGGTAGGCTTCTTTCTAAAGTGCAAATCTAACTACTGTTATTGAATGGGAATTGAGATGAAAGCCTGAGGATTATTCTGATTCCCTAATGTACTTCAAGTGTGGAACGAGATACTCAATATCAAGTACCATCACCATCATTATGTACTAGATGGTAGCTCAAATTTAAAAATGGAGGATGGGAAAGGATGAAATTATGTCTCATAAACAAGAGCGGCTCATTAATGATATTTTAAATTTGGTATGCCATCTTGACCTCAAAGAAGATTTTTAAATGTCCTACTCTCCCTATCGCATTGTTTCAAGGATGTACCAATTATGTTGCTAGGCAATATTGGGCGTCCGCTCAGATTTCACCCCCGAAGGCAACGGGTCCAAACGCGCGGAAGCCTCGGAGGGTCGGGGCGTCCGGGGCCCGGCTTCCCGGGCGGCTGGGATCGGGCCTCGCGGGGCAGCGCCCCCTTTCGAAAGGAGCCGGGATAGGGTCTCTCCAGCCCAGCCGCCAGCCGCGCTCCGCGGGCTCCACGAAGGTAAAAATCTCAGCGGAGTTCCCCACAGGAAACTCAAATCGGTCAAAAAGAAGAAACAGAGCGACGGCCCCGCGGGGGCAACGGGGGTGGCCGGCGAGGGTCTGCGCCTCGAGGAGAAGCGACTGCGACTTGGGGAACTTCCTAAAGGACCGCAGACGGCGGGTGCGCTCGAGCTAAGCGCATTTTATCTCCGGGCGGCTCAATTAACGCGCCGCCGAGTCCCGAGTGGAGGGACTACCGTTTCAAGTAGTTAGGACAGCAGGAAACATTTACCTTGTGGGAGAATAAAAGGTGAGCGCATCGAGGCGGCACACTCCACATTTCCTCAGAGAGTTGAGTCACGCTCAACAAAACGGCCGCGTTCCCGCCTCGGCTCGGCGCCCGCCTGGAAGGTGCCAGGGCTCAGAAAGGGCTCGAAGCGGAGGGTGGCGGCGAGGCGGTAACTCACGAGGCCGCGCTGAGGTCCTAGAGCCCAGACAGCGGCTCTGGCCCAGCCGGTCGCCAACACCGCGGACGCTTGACGTGCGGCTCTGGGAGTCCCGCTGAGGGGAACCTGGACGCGGGAGGGGCGGGGCCATGAGGACGCCCCGCCTCTGGCCCCGCCCCGCCGGATGGTTTGATTAATGACCCTCCCTGGGCCGAGGGGCGGCTCCGGCAGGACGCTGTCCCCAGCACAGGTTCTCCGGTGCCCGCGGACGTCTGCGGGTCCTGCTGCGGTGAACCCACACCGGGCTCTCCCCGCACGCACGCCTCGCCTCAGAGGCGCCCAAATAGAAGACGCGGCCGGCCCGGGCTGGAAGCGCCTGTAGCCTTCGGCTGGACGAGGATGGAGTGACCCGCGCCACCCTGGCCTCGCAGACCCGGCTCGAAGCTCCTCGCCTGCTCCCGCAGCGGAGCCGATCCCCGCACGGCCACTTCAGGAAAGGTGAGGGCCCCGGTCCGAGCCCCGCCGCGCCGTTCTCGGGCTTGGAGTAGTAGCGGGTGCCTTAGTGAGAGGTGAGGCCATGGGTCCTCCACTCCTCTGGGCTCCTGCTGTCGCCCCGGGGTCCCAGGTCTCGGGAGCCAATGGTACGAGGGCGGCCGGCGTGGGCAAGGTGGGCGGTGGCGAGGTAGGGCTTCCTGCCGCGCTCTACGAGATGACCCGCTCCATCTTTCCTGCTGGACGGGCGGGATAACGTTCTAGAAGTGCGAACAAGTTCCGAACCGGAGCTGTGCTTCCGAAATCTTCCTTCCCCGGTAGCGTAGCCCTTTCGATTAATTTGTCGTTGGAAAGTAAAGCCGGCACCGCGCCAGTCCTCAGCCTTCTAAACAGCCCAGGAACCCTCAGACCCCACCACTCTCCCAGACTCCGGGAGGCAAACGTGTCCCAGTCAAAACAAGCACAACTCAGATCGCCCCGAGCCACGTCGGACGGCCGATCCCCGCGCGCGGCCGGGAGAGAGGCCTGCGCCTTCCCGGGTTAAGGTCTACTCGCGCCCGGGCTTCACCGCGCCTTCCCTCCTTTGCAGGGCGCGCGGCGCGGGAAGCCTCCATGGACCGCAGCGGCCCCGCAGGCAGCCCCCTGAACGACGAACCCACGCCCCCGACAGCCGCCACCCGAGACTCCAGTCCCAGGCGGACCGGGTCAGGCCCGGCGGGACCGGGAGGCGGCGGCGCACGCTCCGGGGGCGGGCGGCCGGCGGCAGCTAACGCTGCTCGGGAGCGCAGCCGTGTGCAGACTCTGCGACACGCTTTCCTGGAGCTGCAGCGCACGCTGCCATCCGTGCCACCCGACACCAAGCTGTCCAAGCTGGACGTGCTGCTGCTGGCCACCACCTACATCGCACACCTCACCCGCAGCTTGCAGGACGACGCCGATGCGCCGGCGGACCCAGGGTTGGGCGCCCTACGGGGCGATGGCTACCTGCATCCTGTCAAGGTAGGCGGACAGGGCGCACTGCGGCCCCAGGGACAGGAGCAAGGCACTTGACCCGCTGGGTAGGCCACAGCCTGGGCAGATGCCACCGAACTCTCATCCTCCTGGGTGAGGCGGGGAACAGATTCGAAGAGTGACCTTGGCCCGCGAAGGCACCGGTAGCGAGGTCCCCATCACAAAAGGATACTCCTAAACGGTTTGCAGGTGTGGGTTTAAGCCCCTGGTGGCTTGGGTAGAAGTGTCCCATGCCCCATATAGGCTGCTGCCTACAGGATGACCTTCCTAGGTGAGAAGTATCTTCTCATTTAACCCTGTTTCCTTTGTGGTTTTATCAGATACTTGAAAAGTTTCACGTATTAAATGGGGTGATGGAGTTATCTGCCCCTAAGTAATCCTAGGAAACCAATGTTGCACATTTTTTGTAAAGCTGGTAAGAATAAAATGAGACCGTTCTGCATCGCCACGGAGCAAATTTTCAGTCCGTTTCAAAAAAACCTTAACAATCACGGACTAGACCACTACCAAGAAAGTTAGAAAAACTTTAATGAATTTATGTAATTTTCATAGTAAATTGGCATATATGTTGAGTGATTAAATACTACATTCAAATTCTGTAATGTACAAAATTAGCCAAGAGACTCCGTCTTGTATAGTATTTTTTACATTATATATAGGTAGAATGGTCAGGGGTTTTGTTTATATGGTATATATGATTATGATTTATTACCTATATTGCAGTATTTATACTTTCATCATCCTTTCTCCTAAACTTGATTGTTTTTATATCCTGCATTGATCTGGCTTTCTTTTCAAAATGCATCTCCTTCCCTATATTATCTAGACCTAAATATTCATTTTTTTATTCCACCATTCTGAAGCATTTTGACAGACACACCAATACAAAATTAGGACTTTGTCCTAAGTATATCGATGTTCAATAAATTATTGAATAATCATTATTGAAATGTGGTAAAGTACCCACTCTAATGTTAACTGAAGTTAAAATTCTGTGGTGAGGTTTAAGAAATTTACTTTGGAAATTTACTCAACATGATGACAGACTCTAATTCAAATACTAAATATAAAAATTTCAAATATCATTTATTTATAATTATGATAGACTACTCCCTTCCATTCATGTGTTATATGATTTCAGCCAAAAAGTCATTCATTATTACTTAAGGGGTTTTGTATTACTATTAGGTGCCATTAATCTATTATTAATGGAAGATTATATTAGGTACATCAGATTGCTAGTCAAATATATTATTAACATTAGATTTCTTTTGACTTGACAGATACTATAAGAAAGTTTATTTTAACATAAAGTAGACTTTAATACAAAAAACATCTATTAAATGCCTCTTTATGGGAGATGTAAATCAGATGGGAAATCCAGTTGTTTTTCACCTTAGTTTCTTGCAGTGCTTTTTTGAATGAGTAGTGTTAGAACCATAATTTTCATGTAACAATAAGCTTACCAAGATTTTTTTGCCCTGATTCCCATGTCAAATGTTTTTGTAGTCTTATAACTCCTTAAAGAAAAATTACATCTCATTCATCCTCTGAATCAACTTTTGATTTTAAAAGACAATCCTGGGGATAATGAAAGAAGGCCAAAGATTACCTCTTTAAAATGAAATTGATGATGGCTGAACAAGTGTCTAGTCTATTTTTAAATCATTTACTGAGTGCCTGCTGTGTGCAAAGCACTGTGTTAGGAGAGTGAATACAATTGCTGGTGAGACTCAATCTCTGCCCTAAATGAGACATATAATAGAGACAAAGACAGAAATACAAGTAACGGTACAGTAAGAGAATGTTGTATGTGCCATAGGAGAGCTATAACCATGTGCTGTGGAGGTGCAGAGGGAAAAGATTTTCTATACACAATTGAAACTGCCTGTAACACATTATTTTACAGACACTACCAAGGTGACTTAAATATTAAGTCTATCATTGATTAATCTAATGCCAAAGAAATAAAGATATTCTGATTTTTGTACTTTTTGGTTTACTAAAGGTATTGTAACCCTTAGTTAAATAGTGTTCCAAAATGATTTTACTTTGCCACCATGCAGTATAATGTTACTAAGTCTTACTTTGATGATCAAAAGATCTGTTAACAAATATTTCATGGCTATAATTTTGAATCTTCAGTTCTTATGATCAGGACTGGGGATTCAGCATTGTCAGCATTGTTGGGAATTTACATTAAGAGTACCTCAAATGAAACTGGAAGGTTTAGAGGACTGAGATCCTGCGGCATAGCCTAAAGCAACAGTTTTTAACCCTTTGAGTTGTGAGCAATTGTGATCAGCACCAGTGTGTGAAAGGGCAGTGATTCTCCAGGATAACAGGAGTATATTTCAGATTCTTAGACTGGAAGAAAAGCACAGATGGCTTTATTAGTTGCATTACCCTTGGAGAATCATTGTTAATAACACAGATAAACAATAATTTTTTAAACTTTTTTTATTGAGTTATAGTCATTTTACAATGTTTTGCAATAATTTTTTAATACAAAATTTTGTTATTTTGGAGTCATTTAACTCCAAAAATCAAGGATACATGTTTTTAAGTCTTCAGGTTCAGTTCTGGTTACTTGTATGAGTTTGCTAGATTGTTCTGAACCTAATGAAACTACAGAATTTTAAATATGCCCTATTAGGTAAAGTAGAGGTCAAGATTGTGTTAATCTACACAATGCTAAAACAGATGATTGAAAAGTGAAATCTAAATCAGTCAGCTGGCTTTTTTGGCATGATGCTGACATGCAACCCAACCAATATTTTATTTATATTTTTATTTCTGACTCTTAAAACTATTTATGTGTCTATATTAAATTCATTTGAATAAAATCATTAGAAGCCTTTTTGAAAATTCAGGGATTCAAAGTTATTAAAAAAGGGAAGTTTAATTAAGTCCATGAGAAATCAGGCAAAATCCCACATATACAGTTTTAAGTCTTTATAAAGTACTTAAATACTAGCAAGTCGGTAAAGAACAGATGCCTTCTGGCTTAGGAAGGCCTTTGAGAGCATCCCTGCACAACCTATAGTAGCAAAAAGCCCAGGAGCCTGAGATTTATCCAAAACATTGATCTTGGACTGAGGAAGACATACCTAGAAATCACGAATGTTCTTATCATCTGATGTGATACATTAAAATTTACCATTTCCAAAAAAACCAAAAAACCCAGAAAACAAAAAACAGATACCTTCATTTGTCTCCACTCGTGGTTGCATGATTTCGAGTGATTCTCAAAACAGTGCATCCCAGGTAGCACATATCAGAACTAACAGGGAGCATTCAGTAGTATTTTGACTTTATTTTAGATGTGTTTAATTCACATTGTCGAATTATTACTATCTACATTCTCAAATGCAGAAGTCTCAAATTACATTTGAGGTTTGAGCATGAGATTTTTATGCTCATGAAAATGGGGCAGGAGTGTAAAAATGAAAAAGCACTGGTTTATAACATGCCTAAAATTTTCCACTTGAAATTGATGATTTATGCCTTACACTGTTCACTACATGTGAATATTAGACTGCTCAGGCTGCAATAATGAAATACCACATAGATTGGGGGGATTATAACAACAGAAATTTATTTTCTCACAGTCCCAGAGGCTCAAAAGTCCAAGATCAAGGTATTGCCCAATTCTGTTCCTGGTGAGAGCTCTCTTTCTGTCTTGCCGCTGGCCAACTTCACTCTTTCTCAAAGAAGAGGAGATCTCCTTCTTAAAAAGCCACTAATCCTATCATGAGCTACTCACCCTCATGACCTCATCTAACCGAAATCACCTCCCCAAATACTATCACAGTGAGAGTCAGAGCATCAACAAATGAGTTTGTGAGGGACACAAACATCCAGTGCGTGGTACCATGACACTGGATTCTACAGTATAGTGCAGGCCTTAAGTCTGATCTAACAATGACAGAAGCAGACATATTAAAAAAAAAAATTCCAGGCTAGTTTCTGAAACACTTCATGTTACCAACTGGTAACAGGGATCCCAAGAACAGGATCAGTGACATGATACACCCAGAAAATATAAGAATGCACATCTGTGATTTAAAAATGCAAAACCTGGAAAAAAGTTTTAAACAAAATAAAAAATAAATAAAAACACAAAACCTGAAATGCATTTGCAAAAGTGAGTAGCACTGTGTCAGTCTTATTACTGTATCAAACATAAAATGCAAGTTTACTTATAGGAAGATTATGCAGGAATGGACCATGTTAAATTCCAAGTAAGACAAATGTTATATTTCATCTGTGTTAAAGTGTAAATTCCCAGCAAAATAATCTGAATCTAAGACTCTTAAGTGACCTAAGCTACATAGGAGCAAATTCACTTATCACATTTGGAGGCATAAAAATCACATGCCTACTTCCTATTACTTATGGCTACATGTAAACATCTGGAATCCTAGTGCAGGTGACAGTAACTATATTCAGAAGTACAACGAAAGCTTATATTATTCCAGGTAAGAACTGACTCTACCTTACACTTCTCCAAAGAGGTCCATTCTGATTTAATTGGCCTGGAGTGTGACTTGGCCATCAGTCTCTTTTAAAGCTACCCTGTGATTCTAATATGCAATTTGTGTTGGAAACCCAGAGCTCTTACGGACTTTGAATTGTTAATAACTGTACCTCTATTTGAGCACTGTGGATTATCTGCCAGGCATTTAAGAACATTTCATGGTGCTGTGTAACTGGCAGTCCGCCCATGAATGTTTGCTAGTGAAAACAGCCTCCTGCTCACAGCAGGATTTACTCTCTGGAGAGTGTGGGATCCCACTGCTGACCTTTAGGTGTTGCACTTTTTTAGCTTAAGGACTTATCTTTGTATTAAAAAAAAAAAGCAGTATTTCTCTGATTAATATCCCAAGGACCTTAGAACTAAACATATTATATGACCCCACCTCTAAAACATAAGTTCATTCTGAAAGTACTACTTATGTAGCATATCTTTTCATCATCATACCTATTTGCAAATGAATTGTATTGTTTGAGAGGCTGACCATTTTAAAGGTGAATTTAGAAAAATCACGACCAGAATACAAATGTGATGATTGCTGAAAGGCTAGAGCTGTGAGATGCCAGTACAAGCAGACATTTAATCTGGCTGTTCCAGCTATATAACACCAAACATTCTCATATTTGCAGCTTCTAGATATTGCTCTTAGCTAGATAAAATGTTTAGATTATTGAATTGGTCACTTTTCATTGAAGTTCTTTGACAAGTATAGACACATAATATTTACCATATGTAACTTTTAAAAATATTTTTAAAGCCAGGGATCTTGTTTTAGGCTTAATTTTGTCTTAGGTTTAGCTTAAAATTTAAAATTGTGGGTAGATATATTTTCCTTCCTTTAAATATATTCATTCTCCGTGATTTCTTGCATTTCTGGTCCACATGCACACATATTATTTCATACAGTTTTAATCAAAATCTGGGTATGCTTTTACTTTTAATGTTAGCATTAATAAGCATTTTCTCATGTCACTGCTTAGACTTCATGATTACAATTGTTACTTGCTACATAATACTGCATTTGCATTGAGGTACTTGGAATTTTTAATATTATTATCACAGACTATACCTGTCATTGATACTAACTTTTGGGTTCTTGTTTAAATATTCTTTTTCAGAAATGGCCTATGCGATCAAGATTGTACATCGGTGCTACTGGTCAGTTTCTGAAGCATTCTGTCTCTGGAGAGAAAACAAATCACGACAGTTTTCCAACAGACTCACAGCCTTAGGCTCTCCCCTGGTGGGGGCTGGTAGAAAGTGATGCCTGTTGTTTCTAAATGATGTGAAATAGCTCTATATTTATTACATCAGACATAACAAACATCATTTCTGAAAGTTTACATATGAATCCATAGTTGGGTGTTCAGATTTATCTGTCTAATCTAAGTAAATATGGAATGAAATAATCAGTCTAGTGCAAAATACACAGCTTATCTATTCAGTATGAGAGAATTACTACTATACAGTGCAGAAGGAACTACTGGAAGAAAGAAAAAGACATAGAAAAGCAAATAATTGTGTTTCTATCCAAAGAATGCACACATTTTCTGTAGCGTATCTATTTAACAAACTAAAAAACTAGTGTCTGTCTACACAATCTTCCTGGTTTAAAAAAATAAAATCTGTGTTTGTAATTCACCAATATTTCGTTCTGGAAAACCAGCTGGAAGGTAGGAAATCATTCATTCAGTTTTAGCTGAATATGTGTGAAAAGACTGTTGAGGTAGTATGACAATGTAGCAACTTCTATAACTCGTTATTTTTCCCCGTTAGCAAACTTGTTTGGAGTATTAGAAATGATTTGTTTCGTAGGACAGGACTTGGCCTCCTTCCTAGAGGATTATTAAATATCTTTATGTTTCCAAGCTGTGGAAGGCAATGGGAATCCCTGCAGCTCCGAGTGAACAGGAGATGGGTATCACTGGGCAGCAGGGTGTGTCACCCTCCTCCCTGGTAACTCCATATCCACCCCACTCTTTCAGGTCCTGAACTAGGTGAACAGGTGCAGCTGCAGCTTCCTAGACAGCTGCATATTCAGGCCTGTCAGGGGGCCTCCAGGGAACCCCCGTGACCTTCACAGGCACAACTTTGGCCAGCTTCCTTCTCTCCTTGTCAGTTGCTGTCACAATCTACCTACTTGGCCATTATGAAATGGGAGAAATCCGGTCAGATTTGGGACTTCTGATGCATCAGGCCAGAGCAGACTCCTGAGTCTGCTCTGATTTGGACCCACAAGCGGGAAGGCCCTCTGCTATGGGCCTCTCCCACTACCCTGCACATGAAGTGCCCAGGGAACAACTATTCTGCCTGATTGCACCAGAGGCTTCAGTTTCAAAAGGAGCTTGGGGGGTCCTAGCTATGAAATGGAGCACACTGTCAGGGAATTGTCAGGGAGCACACTGATCTCAAAACTACAGGGTGCAATAGAGGCACCTGAAAAAAATCATCCGTCTCTTGTCATATCTTTGCTAATTTAGATTCCCTTTTGTCTCCTTTTCTTGTTTTTCTCCTCAGTCTTTACTATTCCAGTGTGCAAGTGTAAAGTTCGTTCATTTCCCAATAACCCGAAGTTTTAAAGCTGCTGAGTTTGATCCAAGATTAGCAAACAGAAAGGTGTTATGAATGGACTTGGTTGAATTAATATAGCAGCTGAACCACCATTTCACTTTATCCTCCATTTAATTCCAGCTTTTGGCAATGAAATGAAGTAAAAGATCATTTGAAGGCAGAAACTGTCTTTCACTGGATTCAGTCAAGCATGACCATGTTTTGTCTCATATCTGATAGGTTGTCATTTTTATTATTTTAATGTGAATATACTCCTTGTAATGTGACCAAAACATGCCTTTAAAAGAAAAGGCATATAATAAAGCTTTCTATATATTAATATGTAGCAAAAATTATTTGTGAATTTGAGTATTTGTGAGTGTATTTACCCATTCATGTACCATTGAAAGGAATAAAAAGTAAAATGAGATATGGATTCAGCCATTCACTGTTATAAATTATTGGAATAAAAAGTGCTAAGAATAATCTTTTATCTTAAGCAACGAAATCAGAACTTCTTTAAAGTTACCTGGAACTGAACTGTAAATGCTAAATTTGATAGCATTTCAGAAAAATAATGGTTTCATTGCTAAGAATCTATCTGGTTACAGTTTTTAAAGCATTAATTGGGGAGAAATTATCACTTTTGTTGAATTATCAGACTTGTCTAAATCTTCCTGTTAAATTGTTAATCACTGTCTTGAAGGGTATTACTTTTTATTACTTCTTGTCCAGTTACAAATGTTTTAATGCCAAAGAACTATGTTTCTGTCATAGGTTTTCAAAACATTTAATTAAATTGCTAAATTTTCTAACAGCTTTTGGTAGGTTGGCAAATCTTAGAGGAGAAATTGCATATTTTCATCCAAAGGTTCAAAGGCGCATGCTATTTAAATGGTGCATGGTCAATATAAGGGGTATTCCTGAAACAAAATAAAGCACTGATTTGAAAAGTAATTCAGTCTGTTAAATTTGCATCTGTCTCTGTGATTATTTAACAAATAATGAAGGTACACTTGAAAATTCTTCTAGAAGACAGATACCTGCTTGGTATTAGCTGCTTCACCATGCTGCCCTTACTGGAATACACGAATGGGTAGGGAAGGGGGTATATTTGGATCATGGTGTTATCCTATCATCTGCAAGGGAAATCCTCACTTAAATTTCTGTCAGTTCACTCACTCTCTAGTAATAGGCATTACATTTAAAATTCCTCTATCATGATAATTTGGGGGGATAAGGAAATACCTTTTTAGAAGCGTAATTGGTTCCAACAGACTTTTAAAAATGTATTGTTTATTTCTATGATTATAAAAATACAGTACTACTTACTGTATGTAAATTATGTTAGTAAAGCTACATTAAAAACTACATATGTGCCTGTTTTTAAAAATAAACTTAACAAAAAGGAATGAAATGGAAAGTAAGAGTCCCACAGTGGAGGTGGGTGTCTGGGAGAGAATAAAGGTGAGGGTATCTGTTCCACACGTTACTTGGTAATAAAAAGACTGGTTCTGCATGTTTATAAGGCTTTTTTGACCCAACTACTTTAAGGTGCACAGTTACAGATACCCTAAACAGTAGTTTTCTTATCTATTCATGGAGACTTTATTTACTTAGAAGAAGCTGTGCAAAAAGAAAATAAATGCTGATTGACCTCACTGAAATGCATCATAATTACTATAGTTGAAATTGCTTTTTAGGTTAAGTTATTCAATAATTTTTCTTTCTCTCAAAGGGCTTCATTTTATATTCATGAAAGCAATGAACCAGTCATTATCAACGAAAGTATTCAAGCTCTAGTAAGGTCTCTTTTTTGTTGTTTTTGTTTTTGTTTGGTTGGTTGTGGGGTTTTTTGTGTGGGAGGGCACGGTGGGGTATAGAGGTAATTTTATATATTTTTTTCCAGCATGTTGTTTAATCATTTTTTTAGTCCTTGGTATATCATAGTGCCATTCTGAGGAAATAATCCAATATAGACAAAACATCTCCACAGTGGCCAACATGACTCCCTTAGAAATCAACACATGAATTGTATTTGGCATCATTTAAGACAAGTTGCTTGCTGGCTTTTATAAAATGGTATTCTTAGCTGGCAGGGAGAAGGAATGATAAACAGATTGCTTCTGATCCAAATTCATATATTAGATACCCTGTTTTGAGAGGGTGGTTTAATCTAAATACTCTTTCCCAACTGTGTACAGATAATTGCAAATTGTATCAATCACATATTTTATTTGAAAAGCTATGATTTTTTACTCTTCTCGCACTGGCAGATTCTGTTTTAGTCTGGTGACATTTTTTTTAAATCATTGCTGGAGGATGTGGTATCTACAGTTTCCCGAATGGTTTACAACCAGTAGTATACCATTGCTGTCTTTCTCCACGGTACACACTTTTGATTTTTTAGTTTTGTTTTTCTTGTTATTGTAACTTTAAAAATATACAAAAGCTAAGAGTCCAAAATTTTTAAGGGAACACTAGAGAAATATTTTAAAATTGTTTATCCCAAAAAATTAATATATACTTTTATATTGTTACGTACTAGTAGCTGGTGGTCTTATATGTGCCTGTTCTACTGAAAAAAAAAATAAATGCCCCTTAAATCCTATAGATTTGCTTCCTATAAACTTTGAGTACAGCACAGATGTTACCGCAACACAGTTGGGAATGAGGGATATTAAATATTCTCGCCTAACTACATAAACCCGGGAAAGGCTTCCCTTCCTATGTTTACACAAGTCTTAGTTTCAACTCATAGGAGAAACCAGCTCAGTGAAATATACCTCAATCACTCAAACTCTTTCATTATAAATTATACCATAGCATTTAGCTGTCAGAAGCTTTTAAATTATAAATTGAAGAAAAATCTTAACTATTAGGCTTAAAGATTATGTCAATAGTCATTTCCTGTGCACATGAATGTTACTGAAGAAACTCATGCATTCCTGCCCTCTCAGGACCAAAATGTATGTCTATGGGGAGGTCTGGGGATGAACTTAAATCACTTGTCTCTGTTTTTATGGCCATTGAAAACAGGGCCACTAAAAACAATGTGAGGTCTAAATAAGAACTGATTTTAAACATCCTTATTTTCTGATAAGTTCTGAAACCTCTCAATTTAAAAAATTTTAAATATGTGCTATTACAAGGCATCTTAATACTTTACATAGATGGGTATATCATGGGGGCCAAATTTCAAAAATTAAGTTATATGTATTTTAAGGGCCCGTGCAAGATTGTTTCTACTCTGTGTGCAGCATATCTGTGCTTCTTGCCGACCGTAGCCCCTATGTCAGAGTCCTCTTGAAAATGGGCAATAACCAAGTGGAAAAAGTAGGGTGCAGTGGCAGAGAGAGGAGAGTTAAGGAGGGAAGGAAAGAGAGAAGTGGGAAGCTATTTCCAGATCCTCCTTTCAGAAAGGGGAGGCCTGGCCCACCAGTGTCCAATCAAGCTACAAGTGTGATGTTCTGGGATCAGAGGAGAGACTGCCTTGGAGAGGAGACCTGACTTCAGGCCAAGACCAGAAGAAGGAAAAAGGCTGCTACACCTGGACACACCTGGCCTGAGAGGTCCAGAGAGCAGCCACACCAGGGCTCAGGAACACCAAGGCCCAGGTGGCTCTACTCCCTCTCTGGTCAGACAGCTGAGAGGGTGATGGTGGTGGTGGGAACAGCTTGACCCAAGACAGCAGACTTCCTGTCATCTTAGAACATTGCTGGCTCTCCCTTCCCCCAACCCATTCAAGCCCCACCAGACTCATGGCTACTTCAGAGATACACACTGTGATTACATGGCTGCCTTCCTTTCCCTGATGAAAGGCAACAGAGCATCCTGGGAGAATAAATGAACTTCCCCAAGTGGGAGGTTAAGAACTTGTTACTCAAGATGCACATTTAGTTAAACTGGAGGAACGGGGAAATAGGCAAGAAGGGGTGGAAAAAAGTAGATTCTAGAAAAAGATGTAGATCCCACTTTCTAATAGGGTATGAGTTGGGCAACGCCTATTGAGTAAATATCTTTAGAGGATGGAGTAGTTTATTAAGGAAAGGAAGGGATCACGTATTTTTAATTACCAAGCTGATTAGTAACAGCAGCTTTCCCTAATTAAGGGCTCTGGTTAAGGGCAGATTTCTCCTAGAATGAAGTCAATGTACACCTCTGACACCACAAAACTGACTCAGAATCTCTAGCAAGATAATGGACCTAAAATTCAAACTTTATTAAGAGAGAAGATGAAATCATTAATTCTAAAAGTTGCCATCTGTATAAGAGCCAAGGCTGGAAGCTGGGAAGAGTACTCAGGCCAGAATGCTGGGAGTCAGGGAGATGGCAGAATAGGGGACCCTCAACACAAGCAATTGTAAGCAGGGCTCCAGGCCTCAGCAGTGACACCAGCACGACATTAAGGTAACACATTGAGGTAACAGACACACTATGTCAAAGTTGGTCTAGACCCAGGATGCTGAACACAGGGGCCTGCAGTGTCTGCTTCCACTTCAGCAGGCTCTGTAACTTCTCCCTAAAGCACACCCGGATTGAAGGGGAAGGCAGGTAGGAGACTCATGCAGATGGGAAAACAGCCCTGACAGTTTCACCTCTTACTTGACTGAATATTTAACAGTCTGCCTCTGTTGCAGATGTGTTTCCTCTCCAGGGCTGGGGATTCCAGGACAAGAGGAGGTTGCACACAGGACATAAAGAAAGCTACCTGATTTTCCTCTCATTCTAGTCATGGTGTGGACATTTTAACCCAGTTACACCATTGAAATTGGCTCTCTGTACTGATAACTTACAATTTAGTTGTTTTGTATTCCATTTTATTTGGCCTTAAAGTTTAGAACACACCTAAATGATTGGCTGTGATGATACTGATGACATTCATGGACTTTTGTGAATGGGTTAGGAAAATTCATGGCATATGAGAAGCTTGCCCAGGGTTGCCCAGCTAACTAGTCAGTGGCAGAACGAGGACTCAAGTGGTCTGGCTCTGAGAGTCTGGTTCCTATCCACTCTGCTACGCTGCCCTAGGGAGCAGAGTCACAACATGTGACAGTCACAATAGTAATTTTCTTTATATAAAATCAGTTCCCAGAATTGAAAAGGCCAGCAACATACATGATAAGAGTGAACAGTTCAT